TGTTTTATCCTGTAATTTACCTGACCTTCCCACCACCTAGATTTCTGTTCCTATGTGTTTACCTTCTTTCACATTGTAATTATTTTGATCATAGACTAACCTCCCAGATCTCTGAATTTGTTCTTATAGTTCATTCTGTTCTCGACTCTTCCATTTGTTGATTGATTTCCGGGTGATGCTGCCACATTCGTCACTCTCTGGTTGTTGTCTGTTCTTGTTGGGTCTCTGTCCACAGAACTCCTTTTAGCATGTTTTTCATCACAGAGTTGGCTTTGGCAAAATCCCTTAGTTCCTGTTTATCCTGGAATGTTCTGATAACACCCTCATAGTTGATTGACATCTTTGCTGGGTAGAGGATTCTTGGTTGGCAGTTTTTTTTTTCTTTCAGAATTTTATATACATGTCTCCTCATTGCCTTCTTGCCTGCATGGTTTCTGTTGAGAAATCCGAGCTTAGTCTGATTTGCTTGCCTTTGTATGTTAACACTTCTCTTTTTCCCTAGCTGCCTTCGGTATTCTGTCCTTATCTTTGACTTTGGAGAGCTTGATTATTATATTAGTTGGTGTTTTTCTTTTAGGGTTTATCCTTCATGGGGTTCGTTGAGCTTCTTGGATGCTTATCTTTTTGCTTTTCAGGATTTTAGGGAAATTTTCTTCCAGAAGTTCTTCAGCTATCTCTTCTGTGAACGTCTGTGATTCTTCCTGTTCTGAAATTGCTGATAATTCTTAAGTTATTCCTTTTCATGCTGTCCAAAACCTTCTTCAGATTTTTTTTTTTTTTTAATCGTCTTTTCTGTTTGCTCTTCTATCTTAATGGTATTGAGAGATTTATCTTCCAGCTCACTAGTTCTGGCTTCCATCTCTTTAATTCTGTTGCTTTGCCCTTTCAGTGTATTGTCCATTTCTGATATTCTATTATTAATCATTTGAATCTCTCTCTAGGTTTTGAAGTGTTTCCAATGCTGTATCTGTCTTATTTGATTATTCCTGTAGCGCTTTCCAGACTTCTTCCTTATTTTTCTCAGCTCCATTGTAAAGTGTTTTGATACATTTTATAATCATTTTTTTAAATTCCTTCTCAGACATTTCCAAAGCCTGCCCTCCTTCCACTGTGGAATGTATGTCTACCACCAGCTCATTTGTCTCAGTGATTTTATCTTGTTTCTGGACATGTACTGATATGGTCATCTGTTTCTGGTTTTTGGGCATATTCAGTGGTTAGCTGTCACCTTAAAACTTAGATTGCTGTGTATTTTGTATTTTTTTATGCTTTCTGATTGCCTCCAGGTAGATGTGATTAGGAAATGAGCTCCCCTTTTCACTTTTCTTCCTGAAAAATTTCAAAATGCCACTGTTGGTCATTATGACGTAACTCCGGATTTAATTTTCAGCCTATTTCCTTTTCAGTCTGCCTGTTCTGCACCACAACCCTGTTCTGGCCTTTTGCCTAGTGATAAACAGGTCAGGGCCAGCTGTGGCCATTTTACGCTGCCGTTTGGTTTTAAGTGGAAACAGTCACTTTAAATTTCAAGGAGATCTGTGTGAATGCATAGTAGAATCCTCCTGGGGTAGGGGTGGGGTGTCCACTTGCTCAGGCACCCCCTCTAGTCACCAGAATGGAGGTGTGCAGACAGCAAGAGCCCAGTAAACAGATAAGAAAAAAAGAATGTCCACACCTTTTCTCTGTGGTTCTGTCAGGCATCCGTGGCTGCTCAGGGAGCAGCTGAGTGCATTGGATTAGAAAGCACTGGATTTCTTGCTTCTGCTACATGTTCCACTAGCTGTAAGCTTTCCAACTTTTTAATTATTCCTTTATAAGTGGTTCAGAATTCTGGGACCATCCCTTGAGCCTGCTTGGTCCAGTATTCTGTGTTGTTGCTGATGGAGTTCCTCACTGTACTTCCACTGATCCACCATCTTGTTTATTCTCCAAATCCACTGTCTTTTAATAACATTTTTTTTTTTTCATGAACTTTTAAAAACATTTGTGATATTGTGTGTGTCTCAGTGTACAGGGGAACTTCAAAAAGTTTATGGAAAAATTGGAATTTTTTAATGAGCTTTTCGAAACCCCCTCATATCATATCAGGAAGCACACATTTATTTCTCCCTTCCATCAGTGATGCTAACTTTGATTCTTTGGTTAATGTGATCATTACTCAGCTCCCTCATTTAAAATTTATTAGTTTTCTTTTGCAATAAGTAACTTTGGAAGAGATGTTTGAGACTTCAGTATATACTGTTCCTCATCAAACTTTTTAAGCACAAATTTTAACATTCTTTGATAAATTCTTGCCCAAGTCAGTTATACCATATTTTTAGTAAATAACATGCCCACATATACAACACGTGGAAATGATGAATTGAAACAGTTTGGCATACTATGTGCTGTATTTGTGGAGAAAAATTCTGTACTCTGATGGGTGTAACTTAATATGTTAAGCACTTAACAATAACAAATGATGGATGGTGCTTAAATGCTTAATTGTACAAGCTCAGTACTGTGTGAAAGGAGCCTGTTATAGCAGTTGGATTTCCTTAACTTTGGGAAGTATTTTGTGTTGAACTGGAGTTTGCCTTCAAAGACTTCTACATTGTTTCAGTTCTGTGCTCCCATCGCATCTGAGGTGATCTCTTTTTGATAGTCCTTCAAAATATATTCGTTTTTGTGTTTTTGTAATTTTTCTGCCATTTCTGATAATTGCTTAAGAGGTGGCTTTTCTGTTACACTCATTTTTCAGTATTACACTTACCAGTATGCTATACAGATTTGGGTTCTCTTCCAGATGTGGTTTGATCAGTACTGTGAATTCATTAGAGATGGTAATAATAGTATCCACCTTTCAGAATAAAAAGGTTAAATGTGCATGTAAAGCTGTCAGTACGGTGCCTGTTAACAGTAAATGTTCATGACTATTCAGATAACATACTTCTGTTTTACAGCTCTAGATATAGGTACAGTTTATTTTTTAGCTGTTGTATTATACTGCAGGCTTGTCTAAACCTGTAATGGAAAGCAGAAAGTTTTAAGGAGTTACACTAAAACACAGGCTCTTTATAATATCTACAATATAGGTAGATTATAACAAAACCATTGAGTTATGTTCAATGAACCCTAGAATATGTGGTCATCTTTCATAGCACAGCAAGTGTGCAGTATTTTATTTTAGCATTAAATGGTTCTTTTCAAATTAGTGAAGTTGGAGTAATTAGATTCTATTTGTAATGGTGTTTTTAAACCGTATTATTATTGTAAATAGTAGATTTATGATTTTTAAAATCTTAGAAGATCTTTTCCTAAACTTTACTCTAAAATTTGAGGCTAATATTATTGTACATATCAGGGAAAAGTAGTTATTTTGGTATTTTATTGTTGGTGGTGCTGTTGGGTTTGAAACACCGACCTCAGGGTTAACATTCCAGTGCTTATCCTACAGGGCCATATCCTGGTATTTTGTTGTTGACAAGTGCCATCAAGTTGGTTCCAACCCATAGCGACCCTCCATAGGGTTTCCAAGGAGTGGCTCGTAGATTTGAACTTCGGATCTACAGTTCAAACTAATCTTGCAGTCCAGCGCTTTAAGCCACAGCACCACACCAGGACTCCATCCTTTTATTACAGGACACTTTAATCAAAATTTATGTCTAATTTTAGTAGGGGCGAAACTTAGATGATAAAATTATTAAAACATCTAAGTCTAAAATCTGCACTTACACATATCTTTGTAATGCTATTATTGTTTATTAAATGGTTCAGCTTAATAAATTTTTGTGTTTTTAGTGCTATGGAGTCAGTTTCGACTCATAGTGACCCTGTATAGGGTTTTTGAAGAGCAACTGGTGGGTTTGAACTGCCAACTTTTTGGTTAGCAGTCCAATGCTTCTTTCTCCTACAATGCCGTACTAGGACTCCATGCTTAATAATTGTTAAATGCCCTCACGTTGGTTCCGACTCATTGTTACGTTGTATAGGGTTTTCAAGGCTTTCAGTGTTTACAGGTGCAGAAAGCCTCATCTTTCTCCCCTGGAGCAGCTGGTGGACTCAAACTGCAGGCCTTGTTGTTGCAGTCCAGTGCTTACTGTATGGAGCCAGTCTTCCCTAGGCTTGATAATAGTGTTAGATTATTATAAGGATGTGGGCAATCCAGTGTCTTTATGATATGGGACTTGGTTTTATCTAAGATATAACCTAAAAATACAAATCTTAGTCAGAAATTTCTGGAAGCTAGAGTTAATGAAAATCTGTTCTTTAGTGTATGTTTCTATAATGCAACTTATAACTGTTTACTTTATGCATATTTATTAATTCGATGGAGAAATACTAGCTCATTAGTGGTGTTGGTTCTTAATTCACAAACCTTTTATAATTATTACTGTTTATTTTTGTGTGTGAAAGTTCTGTTTGAGTAAGATACAATGTCTATGGGAATGCAAATTTATTATTTTATTTTCTGGAGAAGTGTCCATTAACCCGTAGTAGCAGTGATGCTACTATAGAAATTTGAGGAAATATGTTACAAACCTTTCTTGGAAATTTCAGAAACATGTCTTTTCTTGTTGTCGCAACTGAAGAACAATCTGACTCTACCCTATCAGGAATTATAACGAATTTTCTTAGGGCTCTGAAGTTGATTCATTGGCTAGCTACTTGTAAAGTTCTTGGGTATTTATCTTAGTAATTAAATTAAATTAAATATGTTGGGACATAGAAAAGTATCTGGTTTTGTTTTCTTTGGATATAACTGATTCAGTGACAAAATTCTGGCTCACTTAGCCTGTGGCCCAAGTGCAGAAGGATCTAGTTAAAATCACATTATCATTGTAGTAGCGTACACTGGTAACAAAATGCTGAATGAAATGTTTTTATTTATTAATTCTAACCTACCTTTTTATGTAGTTCTGAGAGTAAAAGCACTCCTTAAACTTTTAGACAGTTATTAAAATGTGGTACATAATAAATTTTAACTGTTTCAACTCTGTTTCCTGTCAAATTTGTTACAGGAATGAATCTGAAGTCTGCTGCAGTAAAACACTGAAGGCTTTAAAATGTTTTCTTGCATAAAACTCAAACTTTAAGTAACTGCTTATGAGAATAGGGAAGGCAGGAAGCTAATGTCTGTCTCAAGATACAGGACAGCTGTTTGCTCATCAACCTCAACTGTGTGAGTAGAGACTTAAGCTTGTTAACCCTATCTAATTGACCATAGTAACTTTTTTTTTTTTTTTTTTTTTAAATCTAGAATGCTTGGAAGATACATTTAAGTCAGCATGATTAGACATTTTTTATGTTTTCTTCCCCCCTCCTGGCGGGTAGGATATGGAGGGTGGAGTGGGTGGTAGAATTTTTTCTGTATTAAAATATTTTTGAACTGTAATGCTCATAAATCAGTATCACAGCGACCTTGTTGCATTTCTTAGGATTCTCCTAAACATTGACATCTGCATTACTAATCTTAACTATTTTGAAGGAAAAGCTTATCATTCTTTAGGTGGCTCTTTGTTTAGTTGTTGATTTTAGCCTTTCAAAATAATATTTTGACCAAGGGATCATAAACATGCATTCTAGGAATATAGTGCTTGATACTCATAAACTTGTTTATGAAAATAATGTCATAAGTTGCAACGAGTAATTTAAAAATAGCTCCGTTTCTTTCATCTGAGTACATACATTACTTTAAACTAAAGCAAATTTTTGTCCTCTAAATACAGTTGGAAATCTTAACACGTGTCTTTTTTTTTTTTTTAAGTGTCATATAATGTAAATCCTGTTAACCGAAAAAAAAAAAAAAAAGAAAAAAAGATCTTTTTTCTCCCTTCCCCTTGTACTTAAAAAAATTATCACATTAAAAAATCAATTTGGGGGATCCTGGTTTCTTTTTTCCCTTACTGTACCCCGTTTTGTTTTGTTTTTTCCTTTTTTAACTTTTCATGGATTTAAGAGTGCAAATTTTAATTGAATGTTGGGATTCTTCCCCACCCCTGTTAGAAGTTTGCAAGATTAGTAAAGGCGAAATGATTAAAATACAAAATAGTGCATTGAGCAAAATTTAGAGCATCTAGATAAATACTTCAGGAGAAAGATGAGGCTTTCTACTCCCGTAAAGATTTACACCCTTGGAAACCCTGTACAGGGTTGCTATGGGTCGGAACCGACTCAAAGGCACTTAACAACAACAACAACAGATAAATACTTACAAAATCTTGTTAGCTGTTTAGTGAGGAGTAAGATGAATGTTAATTGCTTTGAATTTGCTTTCTCTTTCACGTTACACATGGTTGCTGAAGGAAAGACCAGAATCGACTGTCTTGAGAATTATGAAAAGACATTGGAGAACATGTGAAAACTATGTACTGAATAAAGTTGTTATGAAAGTGGTTGGAGGATGCATGACAGAACTAAGGGAGATAATATGTAGCTTCGTTCAAAAATAGTGAAAACTTGAATGGGAGGTAGAATGGTTGCAATTTAACCCGCCGCCTTTTCTGTATTGGCCAGTAGATGTAAAGCATTATGTGACTCTGAAGGTAATCCAGTTTCTAAATTAAGTAGCTCTATGAAATAAATGCTATAGTCTCGTTTAGTAATGGCAAATCTCAGTTTTAAGAAGTTTTTAGGTCTCTAATATAAGGTATACAACTCTCTCCTTATAAAGCTCAATTTAATTTGGTGCTTTTATTTTGTTCGCAGTGTTCTAACTTTCCCCTCATCTCTTTTTTAATTAGTGTCAAAAACAGACAGTTGAAGGTGAAGGAAGTCTTAGGAAGCTACGATTGAAACTTTGATTTTTTAAAATGAGATGAACTACAAGGCCACACTAGGAATGGGAAAAGCCTATTCTAACTGTAGACAATTGGGGTAAATCTTTAAGAGAGTAAATCGCACTCCCAAATTTCTTTTCTCCTTTTATTTCACTGAGGTGATTCTTTATTCTGTATTACTCTGCTTCTTAGTGGTACAGGAAAGTGGAAGAAGCTAATTAACTTGCTAGGAGACAAAGTGGAGTCCTTGTGTGGCACTGTAGGATAAGCACTGGAATGCTAATCACATGGTCGGCGGTTCAGACTCACCAGCTGCTTCTTGGAAACCCTATACGAGGTGACCGAGTTGCAGCTGACTCAGTGGCACTTTACGACAACAGGAGAGAAAGTATGAGTATATGAGCCCCTTCTGTCCTGCCCTGCCCTGCCCTGCCTGGTCTTTACTTCACCACTGTCGTGTAGGCTTCTCATTGATCCTGCATCCACTTCTAGGAACTTTTTACTTAGATGTAGACATGCATTTTAGCTTCTTTTGTGTGCTTTAGGAGCCTTGGTGTGGTGTATTGGGTTTAACATCGGGCTGCTAACTGAAAGACTGTTCAAACCCACCAGCTTGTTGTGCCAGTATTAAACGAAGCTGTGGAAAAGTTCTGCTCTGTCATATGGGGTCATTCTACTCAGCGGCATTGGGTGTTACCCAGTATGCAGTAGGAGGGGATTCCTGGACCTTTAGCATTGTGATTAATTACACATGCTCTAGAGCCCAGGTGCCTGGCCTCAGATCCTTGATGATGCCTCTTAGCAGACATGTGAACATTAATCAAATTATTTAAACCTTTCTGTGTGTCAGTTTTTAAATCTGTAAATTAATATAGTAATTTGCTATATGATAGGATTGTTGTATTGATATACATGCACAATGTTCAACCATCATTATTGTTAAACCTCCGTTTCGTCTTTGCTGTGGAAGAATAACTTGATAGTACATTATAAATATTTGAAGTAATTACATTATATTCAGTCTTTAGTATTAAGAATTTGTAAATCAAAAAGTAGGATATTTTCAGTTACTTATCATTATACATTTCCTCACTGCAGTAGAATAGGAATGATTACTCTCCCACCCTCTGTGCTCTGCCTGCTATATGTATAGGCCCATTTTAGATGATCAGTAAACACATGTGACTAGTAACTACTGTACTGGACAGTATTCTTCTGGATTGTTGGATTTGAATCTAAGAAATATATTTACATTAAACATGACATTTATTGATTATAGAATACTATTTTGTTTTCATATGAAAGATTAGATAGCTCCTACATCAGCTATAACTGCAACATAAGGGAAAAGGAAGTGAAGATATTTCATAAGAATCTTGGTGAAGTTTAGGCTTAGTTTTTCTTAGTTTCAGGTTTAGTGATTTTTAGGCAATTTACAAAATTCATAATGTAATTATTTTTAAATAGAATTATGAACAGGGAGTCAGGGAGTATTGAGGTATTTTGTTCTGTCAGCCGTGAGAAGTACCTGGATTAAAATGAGCAGTCTGAGCTGTATGGAAACGGACTCATTTTTACGTTTAAGTACTGGTTGTATGTCATTGAGTCCTGGTGGTACAGTGGTTAACAGTACTAGGTTGTTAACCAAAAGCTTGGCTGTTTGAACCCCCACGAGCCACTGCAGAAGAAAGATCTGGCAGTGTGCTTTTGTAAAGATTACAGCCTTGGAAACTGTGGCACTGCTCTACTCTGTCACATGGGTCTCTCTGAGTAGGAGGCAGCTTGAAAAGGCAGTGAATTTGGCTTTGGTTTAGTATGTTTCCTAATCTAGAAGCACCTTTGAAGACTTGCAGTGTTATGAGTGAGTGGTATATGAAATCAGTCTTTCAGGAAGGACTATCGGTAGTTATTCTAAGTAAGACAGTTTGGGATTATCCGGCTAAAGTCTGAAAGTATTTTTTTGATTCACTTTTTTTTTTTTAATTTTCATTATGTATCATTTTATTTTTAAATTTTTTGTTTTCATAGAGTACATTTTCACATTAGAGATGCCCAAAGTAAGAAAATAGAAGTTTGTTACTTTTCAGTTAGAATTTTATGCAAAATCTTATGAGTTAACAGACATTCCCACTGTCCGTCATTCCTAGAACAAATATCAAAGCTGTGTGATCGTAATATGCTGATATTAACAAATTGAATTCCCATTAAGAGATTGATAAATTAAAAGGTACACGCTCATACAATGTTTTGTCACACTTCACAGTGTCTTTAAAAAGCTAGGAGACACAGTGTCTTTAAAAAGCTAGTCTTCTAAAAAGCTAGGAGACAATCCGATTATCTCACCAGAATATGGAAGGCAGTCTCATTATTCTGTGAATATTCCTCTCAAACCTTTTCCTCCAAGATTAAATTGTGAAAAGAATCAAGTGATTAGATGAGGGTTGTCTGACCAATGGACATCTGTTATTTCCTCCTTACTGAGAGTTGAACGGGGCGACAGAGCAGAGGCAGAGAGGTGTACAATCATTTTTAAGGGACTAAGTCAAGTCAGAACTGCCACAGCATGGCCACAGCTTTGCAGATGCCTGCATCGTGATAGTTAAAATAGCACAGACCAGCAAAGGTTAGAGCCGAGAGGGTGCCTCCTCATGGACAGAGTCAGTAACAACCTGTCCCAGGCCCCGGTGACCATGGAGAGGGAGAAGTGCAGTTAGAGAGTAGTCCACTGAGAGCAAGGATTCAAATAAGCAGCTGGGAGCAGGTCCAGGAGCCACACACTGACAACCCTCTCACCAGTCCAGTGGAGAGATGCAGCCTGGGAACCAGCATAGTGGTTGGGGGACAGGTGAATGAGCTGCACTCCTGGAGTAGACCGGTCCTGGAGAAATACTGAGACAAGAGCAGGTCTGATCACTGGAGTTCGGAGGAACAGAGCTCGGGCTCCTTGAGCACCACAGACAACACTCAGCCTCCAGACGACCGCCATGTCTGTCCTTAGGGCTCTTGATTCACTTGTACATTTGAGTTCAGAAATACTCCAAGTGTTAAGGGAGATACCAAGAAGTGTAAATATGATTGTTATGCTCTAAAAGATTCATTGTTGTTGTTAAGTGCTGTTAAGTCGGTTCCGACCCATAGTGACCCTGTATAGGGTTTCTGAGGAGTGACTTGGTGAGCTTGAACTGCCAACCTTGTGGTTCAAACCAGCTTTGCAGTCTGCCGCATCAACCCACAGTGCCATACCAGGACTCCTCTAAAAGATTAGGTCATTGTTTACTGGGAAATATTCTGATCAGGGGCTAAAAACACATGGGACCACAAATCCATTCTAACTAAAAGAAGAAAAGGGTGTTAGTAAAAGGATTTATGAAAATGTTTATGTAAGTGAATTGCAAGAAGTTGG